CTGTTTCTCGAGCGGTTGGAAATTTGTAACTTTCATCTGATTCGGTATTTTCAGTTGATTATTAGAGCATTGAGATCGTCAAGATTTTCTTATCATTTCTCGTGTTTGGATCGAAGGCTAATTTTTTGAAGAAAACCTCAAGGAATTTTAATTCTTTGAAGAAAATGTACTAAATTTATTTGCTGGTTTGTTGTTATGCGAGCACTTAAAAATTCATAACTTTTGAGTGGAATACTGTTTCGAAATGGTTCTCAAGGCATTAAAACAAACTTAATGTCTTCTCTGTTTCGTATGTTTGTCTCGAAAGCTAATTCTTTGAGGAAGATCTCCAAATGAGCGAGTACTTTGAAGAGAAAGAGTGGAAAAATAGTGAAAATACTAAGTTGAACCTCTATTTTGCGGATGTTCAAAAAGTAATAACTTTCGCCCAGTGCAATGTTTTTGAGCCCTTCTTTGGGAGAAAAATCTGTTTTAATTCCATATTCAATTTGTATGTTCGGGTCGAAGATCAATTCATTATGGAAAGTCCAGGGAATTATGGATTACCAAAGAAATATTTATGCTGAATAGGATTTCTATTACACTGTTTCTCGATATTGTAAAATTTGTATCTTCTTCTATTTTTATCGTATCGCGAAGGTTCTTTCGGCTTAATTTTAAAACTTTTGTTAGCTCCAAATTCTCTTCAAACCCTGGGTTTGGATGTTGATTAGAGTATTTTCATTCATGGATTTCTTTCAGAACTGAACAATGAAAAAAGTTGAAAACGAAAAAAGTTTGTCTGAGACAGCGTCTGCACATCTTCAAAAAATTCCTAATTTTCTCTTCGTTTATCTGATTGAGTCCGATCTTTCGACATTGCGTCACAAATTCCATAATCTTCATTTTTTATGTTGAGCTCGAGTCGAGATTTCACACCAGTCATGACGTGGCATTTTGTACTCACATTATGCATTAAATAAGCTGACACTGTCAAAATGAGGCACAATCTAATTTCATATTCAAGGACCAATTTTTCCACACTATATATTCTAAAAATCATATTTTTTCCTCATAACTCACATACTCTCAAAAACACGAGAAACTCTTTATCTCTATTCTCTCAATATCAAAAGGCTTTTCTCTCAAACTTTTCTCATAATCTTCATCAATATTTTTCAAGAACTCATAACAAAAGATCAAAAATAAAATATACTTTATTCTTATTCTCCTACTCCCTCCTCCGCCGTCGGCCGAATTCGTCGCTCCCTCCTCTCTTCGATGCACCGCTGGAGCGACGCATACTCCCTGCGTCAAGGCCGCGATCGCGACAAGCTTCTCTCCTTCCTCTTTTTGATTTCCTGCCAAGGCTCCCTCTTCGATTCAAGCTTGATTTCAGTAATTCATTTCAATTCTCTTGCATTCATGTGTTACTCATATAATCATGTGAATTAAGGATTTAGTATCTTATGAAGTGAAACCTTGAGTTGTGTGTTAAAGTGTTTATGCTATTGTGAAATCAATGTGGATTAGGTGTTTGTTAAAATTCCTAAGAGATAGTTTTGGATTAGAATTCAATTTTGAAGCTTATACTTGATTATGTGATAATGTCCAAGTGTGGAATAGGCTAGATCCTTGTTGAAATTAACGCATAGGTGTTATTTCTTGGAATTAAAGAATGGTTAATTGATGAGAAAACATAGAGTTGGTTGGTTAACCATTGAAATTTTAGTATAATTTGGGAATAAAATTTGATTTTGGTTGAGTTTTGGTGCATATTTTTTTGGTAGTAATTGTTGAAGTGAACATTCTTGAATTGATAGGAATTTAGTGCAATCTTATGAGTTGATGTAATTTGACACCAAATTGTTGAATGATTCAACTTTTCAACACAAAAAACTTCAATTTGGTGATAATCACATCAACACATAATTGTTGGTTTTTGCCCGGTTTCAAAGAAACCATTGCATTCTTATTGCTTAAAACTTGTGCATGGATTTTAAGTGTTAATACTTGATCCGTTGAGCACTTTTGTTTGCCCTTTTCTCATGTTTGAGTTTAATTTCAGGTGAAACGCACAAAAGTGTACAAGGCTGCCCGGTGTTGAAAATAGTGCTTGCGCTTAGAATTAATTCATGGTATACACTTTTTTGAATCCGTTGATACATTTAGATGCAACCGTTTAATTTTCGTGTGATTCTATTTCGATGATTTTTGTGCCTAATTTTCGAATATAACGCTTTCTAGCCATAAATAACTTGAACTTTGAGTTTTTACTTTCACTTGATGCATGCTTATGCTATAATATTCGTTTGTGAATAATTGTGATCGAGTTTACTCGCTTCCGTTGCATTTTTCGGCTCGGTTCGTGTTTTAACTGTGTGGCTGCCCGAATTTCACTCTTGCACTTGCAATGTGCATTTGTTTCCCATTTTTTCATGATCTAGTCTTGTTTTGAATTATGATAGTAATGTTTGATTCATATAGCGCTTCCTTGTTATTTCTAACACATTTGTTTACTTGTGCAAGGTACTTTGAGATAGTTTTCGATCATGTAATTATCGCTTATGTGATCGAAAAACATGTTTGTGCCACTAATTTGTGGTACACACTTTCGGTTGATACGGGTGACTTATATTCTCATTCTTTGAGATTGTATTTTATATCACTTGTATGGACTGTTATCTTGTGCAGGTACACTATTTTATTATACAGATGTGTACGACACACATTCTGTGTTATCTTGTATTTTGCGTTTCTTGTCTGGATTGTAATTTGATGCAAGTGTATTGTTTAGTACTCTGATGTGTTTGATACATGTTTCATGTTGTGATTTATTTTCACATCATCACTTTGAGGAATATTCCACGCCAGATCTTTGATTGTTTTGTTATTGATGTCATCTTCTCGCGAAGTATTACGGGTTTCTTTTGCTTGCTTAACAACGATTTTGAGTGCATGCTCTTTATTTCCTACTTCTCTTGATAGATGACATGATATCTATGGTCAGGAACATCCCCCATCCTACCTTGATGATTTGATATCATGGTTAGGCGTCTCATTGCCCTTGGTGCTACCCGATGACATGATATCATGGTTAGGAATCCTTCTCCATTTCCTACCTTGGTGACATGATACCATGGTTAGATGTGTGCTACTTGAGAAAGTGGATACTTCTCAAGCATTTGTTTAGCTTGCTTTCATGACTTGGTTAAGTGATTGTTTGCTTTCATGATTCTTGTTTTACGTGTGTTCACTTGCTCCCCATAGAATTTTTAGTTCTTTCTTGGTTAATATCAAACTAAGTAGACCCTAGGAAATTTATCCTTGTATACCAATATTAGGTAGGTTCTTTCCCTCCTTATCTTGATCTTAGGGCCATCTTTGCATGATAATATTAGGGGTAGAACTAGATAGTCTCCCTTAGTTGTTTTCTTTTGCATATTAAGACTATAACTCTTTTCCTTTATCAAATATATAAAACACTTAAGCAAAACTTAAATCCTTTTTCAAGGTAAAAATAATCCACCAACGCAAACCATTTTGTCTTCGGACATTTTTCTTTTGAAAACCTTTTCGATAAGGGTATGTTGTATCAAATTCGAGCGGGTTGCTAAGTGTGCGAGTGACCGAGCATGAGTTTTTGATATGATGCAACGCCAAACATGAATTGCAATCCTAATCGCAAGGATACAAAAAGATATTTCTCATTAAAAACATGCAACCAACCAAAACTTTTTAGGAGAACTACGAGTGTCATGATCCCTATTGCACTGTCGATGGTACATAGGCACAAAGGTTCGCAACCGCAACAAACACGACTAATAAAACCTTTTTTTTTGTAAATAGTCCTTTGCATTCATGCATTCCCTATACAACCTAGCTTTAGATTTTTGACACACTCTTAAGATTAGACAACAAGAGTGGATACCATAGAGTACTACGAACGTGTGTGGTGCTAATACATTCCTCTCGTGTAACTGACTCCCTTATCTGATCTCTATGGTCACAAGACCGTGATTCACCCTTCAGGTTTACTCGATGTTTACATTTCCCTTCGGCGGGATAAAAAATGTTCGATGGAGACTCCATTGTTTATTTCAATGATTTTTCCAATCCCTACAAATGGAGATGATGATGATTACCAAATCAAGTTTGACTCTATATTCTCTTTCCAAAATGGTTAAAGCTTTGCACATACATGTTGATGATTAGGAATGACAGACAGACACAAACCTGCGGGATCCACCCGCACTCGAACCTGCCGACCTGCCTCACCAACCTGCTTCCCCGCCATCGACACCTTCATTCACCTACCTCAACTCTACACCGCTATTCACAGACACCACCACCCACCACCATGACATATCTAACTTTTTTTCCTCTAAATTTGTTTCTACTACTTACACAGAAGAGACACGAGCTTCATCCATCTTCTTCAAATTTAATACTTTCTTCTTCTTATTTCAAAGGTTAGAGTTTAGTTTTTTGGTCAATTTTCATGAATTTTCTTTTTTGAATAATCAAGTATTAAAAAAAATTTTCGCAAATAACCGCGTTTCGGAAAAAATTACGCAAATAACCATGTTTCAGATGACTCCCCAAAGGAGGAGCCATCTCACTTGGCGCCTACACCCATTATTTAAGGGGAGGCGCCATCTCACTTGGCGCCTAGGTGCTTAGGGAATGCCCTAAGCCAAGTGAGATGGCGCCTAAATGCAATTCTAGGGCAAATTTCATTTTTTTTTCGGTCCGGTGCGTTGCGTATTGGATACAGGATCAACAAAATCGACTTTTTATTAAAAAAAAAAAATTACATCCAAATGTATTACATTAAAAAAACAGATAAAAAAACAGATAAATCAGTGATCCCCCGGAACCTGGTAATGACCCCCGGTTCCGCATCCCCGTCCTCGCCTTTCCCGTGCTGGGTGTCGTCGCGTTTCCTGCTGTGGCAGGGTCGATGGCCCAGCGAAGTCAATGCGTTCCGGATCCATGAAATCAGTCAGATCTTCATATCTAGAAGATCCGCTTTGGTACAGTCGGTTACCCATACCCTTAAAGTTTGGTCGTGTTGGCGGTGGGTGGGGTTCCATGGTGGGTCTGTAGCATTGATCGTCTGAGCACGGGGGGTAGAAAGGAAATGGATCTTTGGGTGTTTGGTATTGAGGATGTTGGGTGGTTTGGTGATACTGTGGTTGATGGTAAGCTGGGTCGGTTGGTTCGTAATCTTCCGACATTCCCAGATCAGGGCTAAGGCTGGATGTTGAGGGGCCCATATTGGGATAACGGAAGACTGAAATTGTGTGTGAGGTATGCGGGTGTGTTGGTATTGTGATTGGTATTGCGGTTGGATGTGAGGCATATGGAGGTATTGATACTGAGGTGGTGATTGTGGTTGGTTGTGGGGCATTTGAGTGTAATTTTGTTGTGGTGGGGACTGTGGTTGGGTATTTGTGGTTCTGTTTTGTCTGTGGGGTTGGTGGGAGGTTGATGTGTGTTGGGTTTGTTGTTGGGGAAATGAGGGTTGTGCCCATTGTGTTCGTGGATCAACCAAATACCTTGGATGAGACACGTGCATTTCAGAGTTACTAACTGACCTGTACCAAGATAAATATTGATCCGTGTGTCGCATATTACCATGATTTAGGAAAACCGGGAATTGCAAGACATATCGGTGACGCCTCTGCCACATCTTACACCATTCTAGAGCAAAGTCTTTCCAATTGGTAAGACCCCACTGGGCGTCGACCCTTTTGAGATGCCACGAGGACAAACAAGTCGGATCACTTGGTATCTCTTGATGCATTCCGAACTGCATCTTCACACGGTCGCTGTGGTGCATCTCCACAACATTGAACTGTATGATTGCAGTCTTGGCGCTCCAAATTGCTGCATCCTCGGGGTTTGGTTCATGGCCCAAACCCAAATATGGTCTCCAGACAAACTGCGAAAAAAATTAAATCAGGTTAATGAAAACGTAATATATAAATAATTTAAATGAAGAAAAGTTTAAAGGTGCGACGTACATCATCCGGGCCTAGGTGATCCAACAGATTGCGGTATAGTGCGACATTGAATCTTGGATTCTTGCCGTAATCCATACCCCTCACGTAATACCTAAAGGAAATGAAAAATATTTTATTTTTAGCATATATTTGGTGAAGAGATGAATAGTAATAAATGATATAACTTGATGACTTACTTTGTTGCGTACGGAAAAACGAAAGTGTTGTTGTTGACGGGGTTTAAGGACTCCATCCTCCACCAACCCCAGGCTTGTAGTAAAAAAGTGCAGCCATAAAATGTACATTTTTCCTTGACTGCATTTTTGCACAAGGAACTGTATAGGTGGGCTAAAACTGCAGAACCCCAACTATACTTTCTTGTTTTTTCAAAATCTCTAAGTAAATATAAATACATAAAATTTACACTATTTCCCGTACTTTCGGGAAATAAAAGTGTACCAAATAGTATCATTAGATAAGTTCTGGCTTTTACTACCCTGTCTTGCTCGGAGGAATTTATGTTTAATTCCAAACTTGCATAATGATTTTTAAGCTTAGTGAGTAGTATTCCCTGACCTCTCGCACCACCACTTTCAACCATATCCCTGTCCAACAATTCTTCACACTGAGAATTGGGTTGTTGAACCGACCCGTTCACGACCTTACCGTCGACAGGGAGACCCAGTAACATGTACACATCCTCTAGCGTGACGGTACATTCACCTATTGGTAGGTGAAATGTATCGGTCTCTGGTCTCCACCTTTCCAACATTGCAATAATGAACTTCGAATCAATTGTGCAGTTGGAGATCTTTATAACATGTCTGAAACCTGCGTATTCCAGATATGGTACGATAAATGGGTCGGGAGCCAGGTAGTTGTGAGACCAGATTCTGAATCTTTTGGTATCCTGAGTTAATAATGTAAAAGGTGTAAGATTAAGTAAGATGAACAAAGCATTACCTGAAGTATAAAAAATGTATAACCAAAATAGAAACTTACAAATGCGACAATGTTGTCCCTTGTGCCTCTGTGAGAATCGCCCATTGTTAGAAGAGCCATTGTTGAAAATGCCTGAGATTATGAAAGACTTTGTAGCAGAGAGTGAGACGAGTGTGGGTGTGAGAGAAGAATGATATGGTCTGTATTTATAGGGGGAAAAATTTCATAGAGCAAGTGAGGTGGTAGCTGGTGCATGCATGCATGAGAAGTGTCACTCTTGCAGAGTAGGCGCAGGCTAGGTGGCAGCCTAGGGGGTAACATATCTGCATGCATGTAACACGATTGGACATTAAGGGAGGCGCCATTGGACTTGGCGAAAGAGTACAAAAATGAAAGGTGTCGCCATCCCAATTGGAGAATAAGAGGTGTCATTGATTGCAGAGTAGGCGCAGACTACGTGACAACCTTTGGGATGCCATGCCTAAATGTATGTAACACTATTGGAGGTGATGGGAGGAGACTTACAAGTTACAGTGTAGGTGCAGAGTAGGCGCAGGCTGGGTGGCAGCCTAGGGAGTTACATATATGCATGCATGTAACACGATTGGACATTAAGGGAGGCGCCATTGGACTTGGCGAAAGAGTACAAAAATGAAAGGTGTCGTCATCCCCATTGGTGAATAAGAGGTGTCATTGGTTGCAGAGTAGACGCAGGCTACGTGACAGCCTTTGGGATGCCATGCCTGAATGCATGTAACACTATTGGAAGCCTTGGGGGTTACATCCTTACTTAATTCAAATTCAGTATGACCTATTTAGTCTTACGCTTATCATAACACTGATTCACTTAATCTGTCAAACCTTCCAACCTTCAAACGTTCATACAATCAAACCTTCAAACAATCAAACATACAAACCTTCGAATAACTCATAAACTTCAAACATTCCAACCTTCAAACCTTACAACCTTCAAACCTTCATACAATCAATAAACTTCAAACATACAAACCTTCGAATAAATCATAAACTTCAAACATTCCAACCTTTAAACCTTCAAACAACCCTACGCAATGGCCTCTACACCATAATATGTCATCAATGCACATTTCAACAGTGAGACATACATTTGTCCCACTTATGGGTTTTTGTTTAGAGACACAGACAACATCCGATTTCTTTTAAACGGGAAAGCCAACTTCTCATACTTCAAAAAACGATTGGAGGCTAAACTTGGACGAGGCCCGATGACACATATATTTTATCAGAATCTAGTTTTTTTTGGAAACAACCAAATAATTTTTTATAAGGTTGAGGTTCAAGATGACGAAGATCTCCAGAATATGTTTTCCAGCCATGAGTATTCTGGGTACGACTCTATTGAGTTGTACATTATGCTGCGGGAGCCTCAGGTGAGGTGACACAAGTGGTTGATCCTTTGGAGAATGAACAAGCTGAGGTAAATGCAGTTGATGAAGAATAAGAAGATGACGAGTTAGAGTTTGATGAAATGGTGAATGATGATTCCGACGATGATGGCATACCTAGTATTCCTGCAAACGAGATCTACACACCACCTCCGCACATGACAAACTTCAACATGGGCGGAGATGAACCGTCTACTGATTTATTTTTGAATCCGTATATGCAGTCGGATGAAAACTTAAAAGAGAAGGACAAGTTTCATAACAGAGAGGAATGCATCAGAGCCATAAAAAAATTCCACATGCTCAACTTAGTTGATTTTAAGGTGGACCGTGTCAACACAGAAAGGTACAAGATCAAGTGTGTCCACCCTGACTGTATGTTCAAGCTCACTGCATCATATAGATTAAGAGGTGATTGCTGGGTCATAGGTTCCATGACTACCCACACTTGTGTAAGTTCTACCCAATCACAGGACCACCAAAAACTTAATTACAATCTCATCTGTCAAGAAATCTTACCACTGGCCAGCAACGACCCATCTTTGAAGGTGAAAACAATCATCTTCCACATCACCATAGTTTTTAACTATACTCCGTCTTACCGTAAGGCGTGGTTAGAAAAGACTAAGGCGATTGAAAAGGTGTACGGAAACTGGGAGGAGTCATACCAAGAACTTCCTCGCTACCTGAATGCACTCAAGACGTATTCTCTGGGTACTGTTTACATTCTGGAAACAGTGCCAGCATACGCCCAAGATGGTAGTCAACTAAACGGCAACGAAATATTTAGTCAAGTGTTTTGGGCATTTCAACCTTGCATCACAGGGTTTGCATCATGCAAACCAATTATACAAATTGATGGGACTTGGTTGTATGGGAAATACAAAGGCACGTTACTGATGGCAGTTGCCCTAGCCGAGGGGGAGACCGGTAGTACTTGGAGCTTTTTTTTCTGAAAAACCTGCGAACACACGTGGCTCCTCAACCAGATCTCTGTTTGATCTCGGACAGACATACTTCTATTGAAAGTGCCTACAATAATCCTGCAAACGGTTGGCATGACCCTCCTTCTACGCATGTCTATTGCGTTAGGCATATGGTCCAGAATTTCACGAGGGAGATCAAGGACAAAACACTAAGGAAAGCGGTTATGAATGCGGGATATTCATTGACACAACCCATATTTAAATATTACCGCAACGAGATCCGTTTGTCAAATCCGGAAGCCGGTAGGTGGATCGACAATATTCCGGTGGAAAAATGGACTAGGTCATACGACAATGGTCAAAGATGGGGCACATGACAACGAATCTTATTGAATCGATGAATGGGGTATTCAAAGGCATACGAAACCTCCCGATCACTGCTTTGGTAAAATCTACGTATTTTAGGATGGCTGCGTTGTTTGCCAAAAGAGGTGAAATATGGAATGCGGTGTTGTAATCTGGACAACTATGGAGTGAAAACTGCATGAAATACATTAAGGTAGAAAATGCCAAAGCCAACACTCATATGGTTATACGGTTTGACCGACACAGCCACAACTTCATTGTGAAAGAAACAATTGACCCCAACGAAGGCCTACCAAGACAAGAATATAGGGTCATACTACCTTCTCGTTGGTGCGATTGTGGTAGGTTTCAAGCATTTCGTATGCCTTGCTCTCATGTCATTGCCGCTTGTGCTTATACCCATCAAGACGCGCTGCAACTTCTGTCACACATTTACAAATCTGAAACGTTGCTCAACGTTTACAACAACAACTTTCCTTTGGTAGCAAAACCAGATTATTGGCCTGCATACGACGGCGAAATAGTGTGGCACAATGACCAAATGCGAAGGAACAAGAAGGGTCGTCCCAAAAGTAAGCGCATCACAACAGAAATGGACGATCTTGACAAGCTGGAAAGAAAGTGTGATTTATGCCGTCAGGTCGGACACAATCGCAAAAATTATCCGAATCGGGCGTCTGCCTCGACCACATAAAAATTGTAATACATAAAATCTTTCCTTAATTATGTTGTAAACATTAGGGTTTTCCGTTTGGTCATAACGCAAATAACAGAGTAAAAAATAACAAAATTGTGCGAGAAAGTGTGAGAAACGGACAAATTATTTATAAAACAGCATTTTGCCCTAGTTTTACCCTAGGAGCCAAGTGAGATGGCGCCTCCTATCACTTTTAAAGTGCATGCGCCATCTCACTTGACTAAAAGTGAGAGGAGGCGCCAAGTGAGATGGCGCCTAGGGCAAAACCCTAGGTGGAGGCGCCAAGTGAGATGACTCCTCCTTTGAGAAGTCATCTGAAACATGATTATTTGCGTAATTTTTTCCGAAACGCGGTTATTTGCGAAATTTTATTTTAATATCTGATTATTGTAAAAAAAAATTCAATTTTCATCAACCGTAAGTCTTTTACTTATGTTTCCGTTTGTAATGTGGTTTTTTATGAGATCTGGTTACTGTTCAATTTTATTTGATTGTTGAAACTCTTTTTATTTGCCATTCTTGTTAGTTTTTTTTTTTTTTTTTTGGATATTTGCGAACATATTGACTTTTCTTCTGTCAATTAGAAAAAGGAAGATTATATAAAAAAGAATTAGGAAATAGGAATTGCCATTTCAGTAGTAAGAATGAAGATGGTATGGTGGGATTTTCATCTATTGGAATAGTTTTGCATGTGTGCTCAACTATATTCCTTTCGCCATTTCTCTCTTCAATTTTCCAGAAATTATCATCCTAAATGCCATGAATATTGTTGCATCATGTTATACATTTGGTGCGATATTCAACAATTGGAAAGATTAAGTTTGGTCTAATAAATAAAATTGGTTTTTCAAACTGCTTTATCGCTGAGATCTTATTTTGTGATAACTGCTATGTACTAAAGAGATTTGTTTGTGTCTATGGTTCTTGATTTTGATTCTGCAGAATAAATGCTGCCATATTTTAGAATATTTGAAATGAAAACAAGGTGGCAGTGGCCTTTTCTTTAACAGTGTTAACCTTGTGGCCTTTTGCAATATGCTGCATATGCTACACTTGAACATTTTATCCAAGTTGTTTGTTGATGAAAGTTGTTCGCCATGAGGACTGGTATGTATTAATCTCCTGAATCTGTTGTTCTTTTTTAAATCTAACATGATTTATTCCCATAATCTTTACTTTACCATACATATAAGAATTCATGGGAAGAATATTCTCTATATTAATCATGAATACGTTTGCTTGTTGAATAAAATTGATAACATTACTAAATTGCTACTGATATATATATATATATATATATATATATATATATATATATATATATATATATATATATATATATATATATATATATATATATATATATATATATATATATATATATATATATATATATATATATATATATATATATATATATATATATATATATATATATATATATATTTACTTTTTAATACAACTGAAACGATGAAAAGTTGTTTGGGTTACCATTTTGAAGATTAGAAGTTGTTGTTTCTACGCTTTAACATGGTGAATATTGTTGTTTCTATGTTTTAACATTGTGAGTATTGTTGGTTTCAATTTTGCTTTAAATAACATTACTAATGACCTTAATGTGAACAAAACTGACATGTCTATTTGAGAGAGTTTGCTTATGAAATATTTGTGATTGAACTTTCTTGGAGACTATGTTACTATGTTGCTGTTGGAAAGTTGTAATTTGATTGTAGACTTTAATTTTAGTTGTAATGTTAAGATGTTGAAGACCTTAATTTTAATTGTAATGTTATCAAACTTGATGAAAAGTTGTAAACTTTAATTCAAATTTCAATGTTGATGGAGAATTGTAATGTTGTTGTTGAAAAGTCGTAGGAAAATTGATGGAAAATTGTAATGTTGATGTTAAAAAGTTGTACAAAAGTTGATGAAAAATTTCAAAATTACTGTTGTATTTTATGTGTTTTGTTGCGGATTTGGATTTGAGTAGAAAAATTCAAACCCAACAGATGTGGACGTGGATGTTATTTTACCACCCCAATAATCTTTGAATTCGAATTCAGGTGATGATTTCGGGTATCCCTATTAATGATGAAGCATAAGATTTCTACTTTCTCCTTCATCTTCATGACTTCCCTTTATTTCTCTCCCACTCTCACTTCAATATTCTGGTTTGTAGCATGAAAATAGTGAAGAGAAATGCAAGGAATTGGAACATAACCACTTAAATAGAGTTTCCAGTGAAAAGACTATTTTGCCCTTGCAACTTATAATTATTCTCCAATATGCCATCCTTCTTGCTCTCTACTCATAACTAGCACTAGGAAATGAGAGTGTTACGAATTTGATTTATTTAGTTTTGGTTTTATTTTATTAGTTTAAAATAATTTTAAAAAGAGAGGCAAATGAGTTTTTTTCACCAATAAAATTAAACTAATGTCCGTCACGACTATCTCTAATATTTCAATAAATAAATAATTAAATAAAAGAAAGGAAGGAAATAAATTTTTTGGAGGGAAGATCGAAGAAGCTACGGTTACTTTCTATGCAGATGTTTATTGGTATGAAGATAAGAAAGATCGAAGAAGCACAACTAGTTATTTCTTTCAAGTCTTTGGTACCTCAATCTCATGGTGAATCTCATGGTGTTCGAGAAAGCAACCAGTGGTGGTATTGTCATCGTATGAGGTTGGATGTATAGCAGGATCCTATGTTGTGTGGATTAGATATATGATTGAAGAAATGGAAGTCAAAGTGAAGAGACCCTTGACGATGTAGATCGACAACATGTCAACTATAAATCTTGCAAAGAATCCAGTTTTGCATGCAAGGAGTAAGCATATCGATACTAGATTTCACTTCCTGAGGGAGAAGATAAATCGAGGTGAACTTGAAGTCAGACATTGCTCAAATGAAGCACAATTGGCTGACATTTTCACTAAAGGATTAAAAATCAACACATTCCTAAATTTAAGTAAGAAATTAGGAATAATTCATATCGACAATGATTAACGTAAGTTCGATAACTTAGATTATATGAGGTAGGTTGAGATATAAGATATAACTCAAATTGAATAATTTAAGCCTAAGCCCGGTTAGAATTTGTTAACTACTTAGTGTACAAATTAGTTGTATCTAAATTGACATAGTTTGTAATTCAGTTTGTACAATTCAATTCATAATAGAATTCTTATTTACTTTATTTTTTTTTCTCCTCTCACGCACTAACAAAACATAAATCATATTCATTTAAGATGTTGTTTTCTAATAATAAGATTTATTGACAATCCTTAGTTTATTGATATTGCATGATTGAAAAAATCAATTATTATTTAAAATATTAATTAATTAAATTAAATAAATATTAATTATTTATATATTGAAAAAATGTTCCAACATGATATACATTTAAATAATCAAATCTTTAATATTATCCTACATTTTGAGATGTATTCAAAAGATACAATATTTTTTTTATAAATAATATATAATAACTAAATATATATTAAAAAAATATGTATTTGTCTTACCTTGCAAAATATAAATATATGTACAAACATTATAAGAATCAAAATTGAAAGTAATTGAATTTAAAAGTTGAATCTATACAACGATTCTATTATTTAAAACTAATCAATCCAGAATAAATAATAAAATCACTAAATAAAAGTTAAACTCAATATTTATAACATCCAACTAATTATCATAAATATATATTTCTAAATATAAATTTCATTATCACTAAAATAATTCTAAAAATTACAATTCAAAATAGATCTTTACGATGACATTATAATTTTTAAATCATAAATATAATTAGGAATGTGATCTCCAAAAAAATATTTAGTCAAATATATATTCTAACCAAATTTATTATTTTCTTAATGTATTAAAATAATTATTATCAATTCAAAATATTAAGAAAATGAATAAAAAAAATTCTTTTTCATCTTAAATTTTGTTATAAAATTTTAAAATGAGATTTCAATCAAAGCCAAGTACTTAAAAACTCAAATAAATTTATAAACCTAAGAAAGCTGCTGAAATATTAACTTATAAAAATGGAAGTAAAATCACAATCAATATATTGTTAATAATATGTCAAAATCAATTGCTAACATTCAGAGTCATTATAATTTGGTGATACCATATGCAACCAACTTTAAAATAGCCTAAATAGTTATCTTTTTTATCTGCAAAATGTCAAAATGGAATAATTTGTTTTTTAAAATAAATTATGGTATATTAGTAGGAAAAACAAAAACAAATTTTATTCAAAATAACATATTTGATTTGAAAACACAAATATCAAACAAATAAACATAATATATATTAAATTAAAATAAAAATATTTATTTATTTCAATACTCAAAAGTAAAATATTTAATATAAATTGTCAATTGTCACTTTGAAATATATATACAATTCTCACTCTCCAACTTCACTAGTACGTGAAATATTTTTATGTATGTAGATTGAGATTTTCAAAACTTATGCAGGCATAATTATTTTGTAAAAACAAATCACGAATCATATCAATAACCTAAATATTAAGATCTCCTCTGATATATTTTTTAGAGCTAATGTAATAATTAAAGTATACAAGACATATTCAAATACAGAAAATAAAATTGTAATCATAATTTATATGGAAGAAAAACAAACAACCGAGTATCTATATATACAATCTTAGGATCTTTTAAGATATGGACTGGGTACTATAGTACATGTCTTTATATCTACTATTTGAAAAAATTCTAGTACCCGATCACATGGCATTAATATTTATACATGTGCTGGTATTTTATGGGTAATTATGTACCCATTTTCGTATCGGTTATTACTAAAAAAAGGCATTTGAAAAAAGGATTTTACATCAGATATAAAAATATATGATATAAAAAATTAAATTAAAAAGATTTTATATCAGGTATTTATTTACAATTATATAAAAAATATTAAAAAAATATTTTTCGCTGGCTATTACATCGGTCCAATTAATAAACCGATGTAAAATGTTTTATAAAAAAAATACGGTGGCAGTATTGTAAATAAAAGACTAGGTGGCAGATTGATAAATAAAAAACCAGAAAACCCTTACATCGGGCCTTGCGTTCCACCGATGTAATAAACCAGAAACCCTTACATCGGGCGTTGAGTTCCACCGATGTAAAAAATAACCATTACATCGATTATTGACTAGAACTGATGTAAAAACATTATTCTAAAATAACCATTACATTGGTTATTGCGTTCCACCGATGTAAAAACTATAATATATATTTAAGAAATAAACCCTACTATTGTACATTTAGTTATTTTCTCTTCAAAACCAATCCGCTCCACCTACGAACGGCATCTGCACTCCGCTCCGCTACACAATCCGTCCTCCGTGTCCGCTCACCGCTCCGCCAACATTGTCTTTTTGTCTCCGCTACGAACGCCCTCCGCCCTCCGTCTGTCTCCGCCCTGAACGTCCGCTACGAACGCCCTCCACCCGCCTCCCTTTCCCCCATTCACGAAGACGGCCTCGAATCACCAACCGTCACAGCCTGCCGTCGTCTTCGAAACCCCCTCCACCGTCCAACTACGATTCCGGTAAGAAATTTTCTATTTTGTTCAACTTCATTGTATATCTATGGATTTCTAAAAGATATATATACAAAAAAGTTTTTAAGATATTCTTGTTGCTTTTCTTGCTACTGAGATACATTATAAAAAATTAGAAATACATATAAAAATAATTAGAAGATTATACTAGATACTAACTCAGTGGCTTGGTGAATCCATTCCTTTGTTCATATCTATTTTTTAATTACTAAACAGTTTATTATTCTTAGAGAGGTTAATTAAGTCTAATTAGTTATAAATAGTATATATTTTGTATAGAGTTAAGAATATAGTACATGTTGTGTATATGTCATTCTTTTTCATTAGAGAAATTGTCTCCTTAGAAACCTCCGAATGAAACGTTAATGGTCCTCCCAGAAACATAGTTTATCTTTAACCTATCAAACTTAATAGAGTTATCCTTGCCATTGAAATTTGATTCTATTTTTCTTTCTCCGCGAAGCAGTGCAACTTGCGATCTCAGAATCTCCGTGAAGTAGCGCAGCCGCGGGCACACCCTTCGTCAGACCTTCCTCCGTGTGAA